TGAATTAATCAGTGAATTATTTTCCCCGCCTGGGTGACATGGCCTAAAAATATTTTCTTTTTCTTAAAAACAAACCACAAAAGACAAGGCGATGTGAAACACCACTGTAATGTCTTATCACTAGGGATACTATGGGGAAATAATTCTACATGTTCTGTGTAGATGAGTGACCAGAGTGGATTGGGGCTTGTTTTACAGTCCTCAGCAGCTGTACATCCCCGCACTGTAACATTCCTAGCTTAAATCTATTTTTTTATTATTTTATTATTTATTGCGTTGTCTTAAAAACATAAATTTGAATGAATTGATTTATTGCCCAGTCCTAGTGCAACATTTAAGATAATTCCAGCAAACTATTTAGTAAACCAACCCCTCAAATTAATAATCTGGGCACACAAATGATTAATTATGAGTGTGGAAGGGCCACAATAATTGCAATAAGAATTTGAAGGCAAAAATTAGTCATTTACAGATTCTACAAACGAGGGTACAAATGAATCCAAACTTTTAGCTTTGATACCCATCAGGCTCCGTATTGCAGGCACTCACGGCAGCAGGAAAAAAATAAAATAACGCAAATATCCTTTAAACTTATAAATCACTCAAGTAGCAGAGTTGATTGAAATGTTCAGTGAAGAAGAATTCATTTAGCATTACTATAGTTTAGAGGTTAAACTCAAGCCATGTCTTTTTTAACGGTACCTTCCTGTCACAATGCTACCTTATTGAACAAATGTAAATATTGCTTCCTATTGTTATGTACTGCCAGGCTACCATCCTACTGTAAAAACGTAACTTCATCGCAGTCAAACAAAGCAAACAGAATTCTCTGTGACTCAACAAAGACAGATGAACGAGAAGTAAAAAATAGAGAACAGTCCATAGTGGGTCCTGAAGGAAGTCATCTGGAGCTACACTCTCTCAGTGGCTAGCTGCTAAGTTAAGGTACAGTGAGCACAGTTCAATCTGTCAGTGCTGGTGGTGTGTGGGTGAGCAGACAGGGAGCGAGGGTTACTCCATGATGGCTCTGTAAATCACAGGCTCTATGTAGTCCCCTCTGTAACGTGAGTTGATCACCCTTTGTCTCTTTGACTCCTTGATGATCTCCTTCTCTTCAAAGATCCCATCAAATCTCATGTCTGACGCTTTAGACTGCAGAGACAAACACAGGACTGCATGACAGCACTGCCACACCTTCTACACATTTTTCATCATACAGACATCATACATCATTCCCCAAAAAATATTCTGTGTGAGTGAGTGTGTGTGTGTGTGTGTGTGTGTGTGTGTGTGTGGTTTGGGTTGCACTTACCAGTCTGGATTTGACTCTCTTGGGGAGTTCCTCATCCAGAGAGTAGACATCATCTCTCTTGGCTGTTAGCTGTGACCCATCCTCGAACTCCACCTACATTCCACACATGTAGCATTACAGTCAAACATGAATCGAGCCAAGTTTCCAACTTAATAATGTCCAAATCAACACTGATCAACATTTTTCACCTTTTTGACATTTTACCAAACAACTGATGAATTAATCAAGACAATAATCAACAGATTAATCAATGATGAAAATAATCATTAGTTGCAGCCCAACTTCATAATAAGAACAAAAAATAAGGACAGATTTGAAGAAAAGTCAACAGCCAACATCACATTACTTCAGAACAAAAGGAAAACAAACATACTGAGCAATTGAGAAGTGTGAGCAGCTTCTGTGTGCAGTGAACAACTGCAGGTAAAGTCTTGTGACATGTCAGTGTTTCACAAAGAAACAGCCGAGTTAACTAGGATCCAATCAGTTTACCAACCAATCAAAACAATGTATGCACACTGTTCCGCACCCACATGTTCTCAGACACACCTGGCAGAGATCTGTGCTCTGCTGAGGGCTAGAGTCTAGTTGAATTTCTCCATTACTTCAGTGTATTCAATTCAATTCAGTTGTGTTCTTTAGATTACAATTTTTTAAGCTGTTGTGATAATAATAAGTTAGTCAAACTTTATGTGACACAAAGCAAACAATAGTCTCACCAGGTACATGTGGATGGCATGAGCTACCACAAATTTGGCACCATACACCAGGCCGTCTGTCCACCGCACCTGAACCACTTCACCCTGGGGCGGGGGTCCAAGCTGAGCGCAGTCTCGGCTCTAAACAAAAAACATTTTGCAGAGTTCTGAGCAAACTGGACAAAAACATACATTTTCTGCATTGTGAGGTGTGTATGGTGGACTGAACACACACACAATCTTTTCTTCCCTTGCACTTGCAGACGCAGAATTTGAATTTAAATGTTAATGAAAAACTTTACTTTAGTAATTTGGCATGTACAGTACATATAAAAAAATACCATCAATTCTCATATAAAAGCAGTCTTTGCTGCTCTTGTTTTTTCCTACTCCTGATCAATGTAAAGCTACCGACAACAGCAACACTTGCTGATGTTTTACTACAGTGTGGGTTGCGTTTCTCCAAACCTTGATTCTGTTCCAATTTCTCTTGTACAGGTCGATGCATTTTTGCAGGGGTGGGGGTCCCATTTATAATGAAAGGAAGGAAGGAGTGTTTTCACCACAGTGCATGATTTGGTCTGAATTGGCCCAAATACTAAGAATATTAGTGTCACCCAATCTGCAATTGTGCAGAAATACAGTGTTTAAGCAAATGAATAGACCTGCAAAAATAATAAAAAAGTTGATTTGAAAGCTGACGTTATGAAGTAAAATTCTAACTATTCCGTGCAGCCTTTTTTAGCCAGTTTGCTTTAACTGGGAAACTGGGGAAATTAGGAAAAAAAAGGCCTGTCTGGAATATAATCCCACCAAATAAAGGCCACTAATTGAGAATTTGGGGTATTATCATTGCAACAATATGTGTGATAAAAGCCAGTACAGTACAACAAATGAAGTCCTTGATGGACAGAAAATACAGAAAATCTCACAGTTGTAGTTGAATATCTAGATGGGCAGTAAATTAAACAGAGGTGTACAATCTGTCATAAGTCAAAACAGACCAAACTACATTGATATGAGGATTAATGTACTAGGTTTTTTTAGATTTTTACTTCCTGTGAACACACTTTTAAATGAAAAGACAAAGATTGAATTAAATAGTGACCCCTACCACGATGTCTTCTGGGAAGAGATTGTCGCTGAAGGAACCATCGTCAAAGTTAACCTCATAGAAGGTCTCTTTAGAAAGCTGCACCACGTCACACTGGTAGTAGCGTCCGTTCTTATGCTTGCATATGACCTTCTGTCCCACAGTCAGCTCATGCATGGCGGCTTTATTGCGCTGTCAGAGGAGACACGGGACATTACATTGTTGCTTCAGTATTCTGACCCTTGGGGCAGTCTAATGTAACAATACAATGCTTGACAATGCTTGTGAAAAAGTGTTAATAGTCCATCTCTAGTTCACAGTGCGCCCTTAAAGAAGAGTTTACCGGATCCTCAGCGGCTCCTTACCTCAATCTGAGTGGGGCCTTTGTGTCGACAGCAGGTAACGTGGACCACAAAGGGCCATTCATCTGGCTGCATGAGTACTCCGGCAGCCTGGGCACAGGTGGGGTGGTAGGCGGTGGGACAACGGCCATGAGAGCACTGTACGCAGCAGCCAGACGCCTTCTTCATCCGCTTCTTACAGTAGTAACATTTCTGTCAGAGATTAAAACACAGGAGTCCGCAGCGCATTTCAAATGAATCAGTGGTGGTGAAGCTAACACACAAGGACCAGTGTTAATTTGAGTTGAGCCTTTATACCTGAAATGTCCCACATTTTACACCTGAAGTTTTGAGATATATTTGACCATCTCAGTATAGTTTAATATTTCCTGCTCTACCAAGAACAGTGACTTTTGTGTTCAATTAAATTTCAATTCGTTTTATTGTATAGCGCCAATTCATAACAGAAGTTATCTCAGGACACTTTTCAAATAGAACAGGTCTAGACCGAACTCCTTTAACATTTACAGAGACCCAACAGTACCATTTGCATTTTGTCTGGACTTTCAGTATTTGGATCAATAAGCTTGTTAAAAAGCCAAAATGTGTTAAATGTGCCAAATCTAGTAGGCTACACCTGTTATTCAATGTGTCTAATACATATTTAATCAACATTCAGGTAATTAGGGAAGAAAATGACTGGTGTACGGATGGTGCTGTACATGTACATTCTCGGAGCAGGTTCTTATTGCCTGTATTTGTTCATGCCGCTCCCACATTACCTGAATACCAGCTTTAAATTGAGAATGCAACAGTAGCTCATCCAAAGTATAAGTGGGAGTGTCCCTCACCAGTTTAAATCTCTGCAGAGGGATTCCACTTAAATCCACAGGACTCCCTCTCAGTGATGTTGACAAAAGCGTGGCCTCCCAGCACAGCACTGCACACCCAGCACATGTACCCCCACCTGCAACACACACACACACACACACACACACACACACACACACAAGCTTCATATCAAGCAGTAAGCTGCTTATTCTGTCCGTTTTATAAATCACTATGAAACTAAATTTGGCCACACGCAAACACACATTCTATTCACAGGGAGTGTAATGTAATGATTTTAGAAGTTTCTGGTCCTTCTGTTGTGTGCTATTGTGATGTTATTTAAGTACTGTTTGATATGGCTTACAGGCCTCATTCTTTTCTATGGTCCTCCAGGAACCTCATTCACCCTTTATGATATTTATCCACAATGTGACTGTTGATGGATTGACAGCTGATTCCTGTTAAATACAACTGATGGCTTTGGAGATACTTGTTCACATACTTGTTTTCACCATTGTTAGCTAAAAGATACAGCATAAGAAAAACAGGTTGATTTTTAAGGCTAAGGCAGCTTAGCCCTTTAAACCAGTTTAAGCTGAATAAGTAAATGTTCTCCAGCTCAAGCATAAAGAACCAATCTCAAAGTACAGATGTTGCAGAGGCATTGGGAAAGGGAAAAGCATAATTTTAGAACAACTCACTTGTTGTTGTTGGCTTTCTGCAAGGCTCCGCCCCTCAGCGAACACAAACAGCAATTCTGCAGAAACAACATGTGATCATCAATCACCAACAGCAAAGAGCAAAATTAGCCATTATTGTAGCTAGTAGCAGTCAGCTAAGAGTACATTTTATTTGCAGCCAGTATCAAAACCAATAACTACAGCTACACTAGCGTGGAAATGTGTTTGAGGTAAATACCAACGGCTAACATAGAACTATGGTTTTATACATTCTTGAATATCCACTGAGCTTTGCCAAGCTCACGTTAATGTGGGCCAAACAGCTTAATATATGACTTATGGCTGTTTTATGTTGTTATATACATCTACAGTGCAACACAAATAACAGTACGTGTTCCATCTGAAACTCCAGAGGATAGTCATTTATAAACTGCAGTTATTGTTTTCAGAATACCAAATGCCAACTGCTGTGATGTATCTCAGTACCACATGTGCTGGGTGCAGGACCTCTCTGCACTCATTATTTGACTCCTTTACAGACTCATCACAATTATATAGATTTATAGACAGATACAATTGTTCATGTAATTTCTTTAATATATTTTGGGATATTTTTTGTGAAGAACAAGAGATGTAGATCAGTTTTTGTGGACCATTAGAGTGGACACTTAACCCCAAGAAGGCTCCAATTAAACAACAAGGCAGCATGTGGAGTAAATCCACTGGGGAGATTTCACTGACCTCAGTCATGGCGTTAGCCTTGCAGCGCGCACACTTCCACTCCTTGCTCACACTGGCTGGATCCACACCGTAACAGCCTGGAATATACAAACACAAAGACACAGTCTGACACGCTGCTGTAGTGTGTCTATAAGAAGGTCTGTTAGCTGTGCTGCCACCCTCAGGCAGTGGTTAGTCAGAGCAGAAGATTGAGAAAATAAGACCAATAAAGTTGAGTGGGTTACTGTGAGCATACTCTGTTCATGCACATACAGGCTGTGTTACATATTTGCGACCAAGAGTGTGTGTGTGTGTGTACTGACTGGTATGAACCCGGACGCTGCACTGAGAGCAACTGATGAGGAGGCTGGTTCCGTCTTCCTCCAGGTGAGGTGTGACGGGCTGCTCCTCGCATTCAGAGTCCTCCTCTGTGGTGGTGGTGAAACACATCTCTGGGATCAGAGGTTTGGTCCGCATCCGCCCAACAGCCACCATGACAGGACCGTCTACACTGTTTGCACATTCAGTCTGACAGACAGCACAGACGGCACACTTTTTGTTAAAAATGCTGAGATGATGATGACATTATCAATGTTATGTTGAGCACTATTTAGGCATTTCTGTGCACAGAAGACATTTTTGCTCTCTATAATGCTTTGTCTATATACTGGTGTAGCTCAATTGAGGTCGGGGGTGACTGGTGCTGGGAGTGTGCTGTGGTGCAGATCACCTGCTGGTACATGTGGAACAGCATGCAGATGGAGCAGTATGGAGGTTTTGAGCCGATGCGTTGGTTGTACTCCCTCTCTTTCTTCAGGTTGGGAGGTCTGCTCTGCCACAAGTGGGCCAGAGGTTTGGCCCAGCTCTCCCCTTCCAGACCACCCTCCTCTACCGGGGGTGCTTCCTGTGGAGCCTCTGAGGCATAGACAAGCACAACGGCAAAGTTAACACAAACAATTAGATCAAATAGCGACTACAGGTAACACCTTTCTACATGTTGGGCATCCATATTAACTGCGACATCCCCCTCAAGTTGTAGCAGACAGACCTTCATCACTCATGCCATCCTTTATGAGCGGATGGTGGCCTGGCAGCTGCCCTAGATCACTCTCTAGCTCTCCGTCTTCAGCCACCTCTTCTGCCACCTGCTGGAGAGACACAGCTACTGTTAGGATCAACATTCAGGCTGGAAGTTTTTCAAAAAGACCACACTGGTAGTTTTACATTCCTGCTTACCGACCTAATATATGCTCCACATAAGTAATCACAGTGAGTATTTACCATCTTTATTTTGTCTTTAGGTGTTCTGTAGTTGTTTGAGGCAGTGAGCACACAGGTGAACACACCACCAACTATGTCAGTGATTTTGGTGAAACTGTATCATATTTGATGAAGGAAATGTTTTCTGGTTTTCTCTCTGATGTCCTCCAGCTGCTCCGCCTCAACTCTTTGTAAATTTAGAGTTTTCTGATGGACAGTAAACTAGCTGCTGCCAAATGTAGCCGCTGTTAGCTAACTAGCTTAGCCGTACTGCCCTGAATGCCCGGGACTGGGTTCTCAGAACACCAGGGAAGTGTTGGGGTTCACACTGGTAGCACAGCAGCTCTGGACCACCAGGAGGAGGATGTTTTCAAAGCCTTGGATGGGGTAGGGATACTGACGGAGAGCAGTAGCCAGGCAAGCGGGCAATGTAACTGGGCTCAGCAGCTTCTGTGGAAACAGCTAATAGCAGAGGCAAAGAGACCTAAGAGGACACGGAAGAAGCTAAGAAGAGAAAAGGAGAGAGAAGCTGTTGTACAAGAGTAAATTTAGGACTTAGTGGTTGTTAAGAGCTTGGTGAAATAAAAGGCTGCAGACCGATGGTGAGCTGGCCTTCTTGCTGTTGGACTAGTCAGTAATATTAGCTGCTTGCTATGTCTGGTGTTGTTGCACTTGCCTGAGTCGCTACTTTTTGATCATAAGTAATGTAAT